ATACGACCCAACTTTCACCGTCTATGCAGCGGAGTAGAACTTCCACCATTATAGCGTTGAAATTCTTTTTCAATTGAATTAATTGTTACATAAACTATCAAAATTATTCTAGAAGTTTTTAAAAATAGAATTAGACTTTGAGTATACCAAATAAATTTTCATTTTTTTGCTTGTATAATATTTCACAATACATTTAATTACAAAAAATAGATTTAAATCATCATCATTATAGGGATTGTTATGCTTTAGAAGACATTCAAAGTAGAATGTCTTTTTATATTTAATTATTAAAGATAATCTAATTAGTTTTGAGCTTGAAATGTCTAAAAAGACCTCTCAAAGAATTGAACACAGTCTTATAAAGTCAATGTTAAAGCATGACTGATTTAAATTGAGATCAATTACACGAATTAAAAAGTAGAAACGAATTCTACAAATTTTGATTGCCTACAATTTTTGTTTATAACTAAATCAATCATATTTTTAAAAAATAATAAAATTTTAAAAATATATGCATACTAATTAATAAAAGATTAACCGTAAATATCTAGAAGTCTTATTTTGGAGCCCTAAAGTCATTGTTTTAGTGGCTTTAGGCTTAAGCCGCTCTTGTGATACATAGGTTGTTAATGTCTTTGATTAACCGTAAATATCTACTATGTAAATTCTGTTAGGCAATAGAAAACTAACGATAAAATATACTAAATCATAGATCGAGCTGCTGGACCAGAATTAGGATTAAGCCTTAATTACTGTTTGGATTGACTTGTTATTTTTAATCTATAAATCAAAAGTCATAAGTTAAAATTCTTAATTTATAACTTTGACTTATTTTCAATATTTTAGCTTAAAATTAAATATTTTAAAGCACTTTCTTCACTTACCCAAACTCTCTAAAAATAATACTTAAAAGCTATTTTAGCTCAAAAAACACTTTTAAAATAAGTCAATCCAGACGAGTTGTCTTTTCTACTTTAGATGTAAACACAATCTTTTGGTAATATAGGGGATTTTAGAACTCGCATTGACAAATTGTAATCTTTATGTTTATAATTAGTGAGATTTTCATATTTGTATGAAAAATTACAACATAAAAATGAACCATGCACATGAGTTGACAAATTGCATCTTGAGAATAATTGAGATTTTGAGACAACTAGAAATAAAAGTATAAAACTAAATCCTATGTCAATAATTTTATATACCAAAGATGTATAAATATAATTTATTTATTTTCTATCAAATCATCGATTAACCCTTTAAGAAAAAATCTCAACCCATTAAAAACTGATAATCCGATAATTATTTACCATAAAACAAATATAATTTTTATATGGTGTCATTTAGGAATACAATATTTTTCTTTCGGAATATTTACTTCCAAGTTGCAATTACCTTTTAGCTCACAGGCATAGCCCTTTTACTTGCCACAAGAAAATAGAGCATCATCTTTGTTAAAAGTTTTAATTAATTTTGATTTATTTTTTTACTTCCTTATGATCATTATTTTAATTTTATTAATTTCTGGTATGGTGATATTGAAGTACATTGTGATCCTTTCCAAGTCTGAAGTATCTATTGTTTTATTTAAAAAGATATACAAAAGAAAAATGACTGAGTTTTGGAAAAATTGATGCCACTTAATTTTTAGTAAAAAATCAAGAAAAATATAAGGTTTTTCAAAAGATTCAAACAGATAAAATCGATTGAAAAAGGGTTCGAGTTCAAATGTACATTCCGAGAAGGTGTTAGGTCCTCGGAATGCCCACTAACTCGCGGTTGACCGACGATTTGACCAAAATGATTTTTGACTAATTTTAAAATTTTAACTAATTAAAAAAAATTCAATTATTTTAACTTATTTTGAAATTTTAACTAAATAAGAGAACTTACTTATTTTTACTAATTTTGAAATTTTAACTAAATAAAAGAACTTATTTATTTTAACTAATTTTTTGAAATTTTAATTAAGTAAAAGAGCTCATTTATTTTAACTTATTTTTGAAATTTTAAAATAAAAGAACTCGTTTATTTTAACTAATTTGGGAAATTTTAACTAAGTAAAAACTCATTTATTTTAACCTACCTATTTATTACTATTATTTTATTTATCTAAGGGGAAATGAACTAAAGGAGAATTTTCTAAAGGGGAATAATTAAAGAAATGCAAGTCAAACTAAAGGAGTATAAGTAAAAATTGAGTGATAAGAAAAATATAAATATATTTAAATTGAGCATAAGAAAAGAAGAAAACGATTTCTCTTGGGGAATTTAATTAAGTAATAATCAAATACAAGAGAGTTAGTCAACACAATAAAAAATAAATATAAGGGAGAGGAAGTATCAAATTTGGGTCTTCGGCCCAAATTCCGAGTCGTAATAACCTGTCCTAATACTATAATATCAGAATTACGGGTTTCAGCCCATTAACCCTTTGGACCTGCTGAAAAATTGTGTATACGTTTATGCGTATACCATTGTATACTACGTGCATGCGACATTCGAAACCTGTATTTCCTCTTTCGAACTTTGGATTTTGCATCCTTCAACCCGTGTTTCTCTGTTTTACACCTATATGCCGTATCTTGTACTTGTATACCGATGTATACTCAATTTATATTGTCTGTTTCCGGACTTTGGAAATATATAGGTCATGTTTTTGAGAATCCTGTTGACTCGAAATGAAGAAACGAAAATGGAGCCTTTGTGGTTCAACTCGGAGATGCAAGGGAGATAAGTCCCCATCTTTCTCGGAGCAGCGAAATGGGACAGCTAACGAGCTTGTAGAGCGACTTCACTGTTAACTTCCAAGAACTCAGGCGCTTCGACGATGCGAGAAAGGAGAAACAGAATTAGAGGAAGACTTGAATCCCTTTGAAGCTATTTGAGAATATTTCTCTTCAAATCTCAACTCTCTGTTCACAAGCTTAAAATCCCTTTCTCCTTTTAAAACTATGATTCTTTCTATCCTCTTCCCAGTCTTGCCTCTCAAATTCCGACTAAATATTTTCTCCAACTCTTTTCTCTAACACCAAATTTTTTTTTACTAAAAAATAAATCAATCCCCCCCTTTACAATAAAAAATAAGAAACTACTTATAGAAGGAAAATAGGGTTCCAATTTTTGGGGGGGAAACAGATAGATTTCGGATAGGAGGGAGGCCCATTCGAAATTCAAACTCCAAAAGATTCTTTCACCATTTAAGGAAGACAACCTTTTCTCCGAAAAATCACCCCATTTCGGAAGAGGAAAGGGGTAGGATGCGTGCTTCTTGCCTATTGCGATGATATTAAAGCGGATAGAGACGTGAGGAGAAGAAGACAAAGAAAATAGAGTACTGCCTTATGCTGTTATTGCCGTGTATAGCTCTGTGAAGACTCCGCCTGGGTTTAACATTTTCAGAACGTAGGAGCTATTGTTTCTGGAAATTGTATGCGCTGGACTCTTTCACTTTGCTGATGAGTCAATGGGTCGGGTATGGGCTGATTTTGGAATAAGAGTGGGCTGGAGTAATTGGATAGAATTGGGAGTGGGTCGGTTGGGCTTGGGAAATGGGTATTTGGAATTGGAAAAATAAAATGGGTTATGGGAGTTGGCAAATGGCTTGATTTGGTTTAAAAGAAAAAAAGTTCTATCGGATTTAAAAATTAGCCAAATTTAATAAACTAGCGAATTCGACTATAAATTAAATAAGACGAATTAATATTACTTAATTAACGAGCTTCTTAATCTTAACAAAATAAAATAATTATAAACTAATTACTTTAACAATATAAATGACTAAATAACCAAACATTTAAATAAAGCTAAAATCCTTTCGAGATAATTTTTGAACATTCGTAAAATATACTAATTAGACACATAATTAGATAATAATTAACTTAATTATAAACTAACTAATTAACTCAAAATTGTAAACTATTAGATAACTAAACAAACTAACCAAATATCTAATTAAACAAAATCTTTTTGAGACGATTTTCCAATATTTATAAAATGCACTAATTATATACATAATTATATAAAAGGCATATTATTATTTAAAAATTATAACAAGTGACAAACTATTTGAAATAACTCGCAAATTATTCCATTATATTTTTATTTTTTTTGAAATTTCTAAAATTAATTACTTTAAATCATTTGAAAATTAAGAAGCTCGAAATTAATTATTATCGGGGAGGGTCTAAATTGAGTGTCAACATCTATCTTAGAAAAAACTTACCTGTATAGGGTGTATACATCAAATTAATTCAATTTTCATTATTACGTGATTTAATGAAGTAAAATACATGTTAATTAACTATGGTTAAATAAAATGAACTATAAATAATTTAAATACATGATATGTATGTATTGATTTGGTGTATACACCCGGTGCAGATAAGTTTTACCTATCTTTCATTATTATATTATTATTATAGAATGGCGTATGAATGAATTAAATTTTATTTCCAACTTTTCTTATTTCCATTTTTGAAATACAATAATGATTTGTGCTGTGGTGTAGAGCGCAATCAATATTTCCTCTAAAGGAGACAAAATTTAAATAAATAAATTCATGAAAAATTCAAGAGAATTAAACATACAATGAATTTACATTTTTTAAAAATAAATAATTTACATATCTACCAGTTCTACACCATGCAAATTTTCCACTTCTCCGTGAATACCTTTTTTGGTTACTAGAAAATTACCACTTCTTTCAAAAAGTAACCATCAATATTAATTTATTTTGTTCATTGTTTGACCTTTTATATTTATACAACACAATAATTGTATTTTATGAGTTGCAATGAAATTTTAACGGTAAGAGTTTATATGGTAAAATATATAATATGAAGGCAACACAATATCTATTCAAGAAAACATGTGAAATAGTAGTTTATTTTTATAGTTCAATAAGGTTCTGCATAGTTCAATTGAACAGCAAGTGTTAATTGTTACCTTAGGATTTACTCAACTTAAAAAACATGATCTCAAAAAAATGTGTCCCCAAATGTAAATATATATTTGGAATAGAAAAATGCATCTCATAACATAACCAAATATTATACAAGTAATTTTGGAGAGATCAAGCTTTCCGTTGAAATGAATCCACCCATAGTCATACAACTTTGAGGCCATAATCCAACTTGTCCATTTGATGTCATGAATACGATCCAACTTTCACCGTCTATGCGGCGGAGCATAACTTCACCTTTTTCTGATATGGGAGAAATATATTCAGTAGTTTGTATAGCAATCAATTTGGTCCAAGATGCCTTGACGCCATAGTCTTTCATTTGCCATAATATAAATTCGCCCCACATATAAATATCATTAGAGAAAACACAAAGCATATCTTCCAATACTGAAACATCAAACATAAGGCTACTTGCTCGCAAAAGCATTTGCTCAGACAATGGTATCTCTCCATACACCTCATTTGAAATATCAAATGAAATCATAAAATTCTTTTTTGAAAAACCGAGCCAATGAAATGCTCCATGTACAAAGGCCAAACAGCTCCTACCATTAAACATATAGAAAATGCCACTGGAATATTCATCAATTTTATTCCAGGAGCCTTTTTTTAGTGAGAGAAGTTCAATAGATACGTTACAATCATAATTTCCGTCCAAACCAATCTTAAGGACCTTATAGTCATTTGTAGTTGAGTCATATCCCATCCCGCATACAAAATTTCTCTTTGGTGGAAATTTTGGATTGGGAAGTAGTACCGATTCTCTTGTGAAGGGGTTCCATAGAAAAAATACGATATCTGTTTTATTATAATTACTAACCCCCATAATAGACAAGCCATCGAAACAACAATAGATTTTGACATGCCATGGTTTAAAATCTGATGGGCAATCAAGTTTTGGTACAGACTCAATTAGTTGAATTGACGATAAAGAAGAGCAATAGTAGGAAACCACACCATCCTCAGGGTCAAGGAACCGACGACAACTAAGAAATTTCTGGGAATTTTGATTATTCTTGGCATGATTGAGATGCTTCCTCGTAAAATAAGGTTCGACGATTAATTTCTTCCAAGATTTTGAAACACATTTGAATCGAAGAAGAGACTGTACAGGTAACCTGCTAAGTGTGTCCATAATTATTTCCTCTGGTAAGTGAATATCCATTTCCTAGATAAGACAGGCAAGTGAAGGTGTTAATATTTTCAAAAAATGCAAAAGATCAAATATGAAAAAAGAAAGGTACATATATAGAGAGCAAAAGGTTTTTAAGTACAACATGTACCTTGATTTGGTCGAGAAGACCAACGATTGCTACGAGTGTTGTTTCAAATAGTGGTAATGAATCAAGAACCGCAGAATGAAGACTTGAACAAGAATCCAAACTCGAGTTCTCTAATTATCAAACTCTTTTAAGAAAAGAAAGCAAATAAAAGAAGACTTTTTTTTTGGTTTGTACGTGTGATTTTGATGATTGATAAGTAGGGTATATATAGGCACCTAGTTGATAGAAATTAGTATTAATGTAGGATTAGATTTTTAGAGTTTGGTAATTTTAGAATTATTTTTTTGAGTTGGATTTAAAATAGGAAGTAAGGTTTTATGAGGTTTGGGATTAGTTTTAACAAGATATTCTAAAGAGATTAGGAAGACTTTTTAGGAAGACTTTTTCCTTCTTTTTTTTTTTTTTTTTTTTTTTATCTTTTCTTTCTTTCTCTTTCCCTGTACGTGTTTTCTTTCTTCTTGCTTTTTTGTTTTCTTATTGTGTATGTTTCTTTCTTTTCTTCTTTTTTTTTTGTATTTTTTTCTTAAAAAAATATTAAATATCAATTAAAAAGTATTAAATGATTATAATATTTAAGTGAAAAAATATATTTATTTATTTTTTGAATTTTCTTTCTTTTATAATAAAAAAATAATATTAAAACCTAACTTTCAATTTATTTTAAAAAATAATACAACTCAATTATTGTATTTTTAATTATATGAATCTATATGGTAAAATATCTAATATGAAGACAACATAATCTCTTTTCAAGAAAAAATGTGAAATAGTAGTCCATTTTTATAGTTCAATAAGGTTCTGCATTAGGATTACTCAACTCAGAAAACATGAAATAACATGATTTTGAAAAGAAACACGAACCTCATACATAAACAAATACTATATAAGTAATTTTGGAGACCGTTCAAATAAGTTACCCTTAGTCATACAACGTTGAGACCATAATCCAACTGGTCCATTTGATTTTATGAATACGACCCAACTTTCACCGTCTATGCAGCGAGCAGAGCAAAACTTCACCATTTTTTGGTACGGCTAAAAAAAGTCTAGAATCTTGTATAGCAATTAATTCGGTTCAAAGACACTATAGTCTTTCATTATCCATAACTTAAAATCCCCCCCACCTCCGAATATAGTAGGAGAGAAACACAAAACATTCCTTTCTAACACTAAAACATCAAACATAATTCCCAACTGCATTTGCTGCCGAGGCAATGGCATCTCTTCATATGAAATATTAAATGAAATACTTTTGTGAAGACCAATCGATTTTATATTATGAATTTAAAAATTCAGAAAACAGCCGATGTTTGTTCTACATCATCACAAGATGTTGATCAATTTGATCCACCTGACATGGCTAATATTTCTGATCAACTGGAGGAAAAGTTGAAGATTCTACGGGTTAAAGTGAAAAAAAATGAAAATCCAATCTGCCCCTGCTACTGATGATAATGAAGGACACCCAGAGGCTTCTAGCCAAGAACATGTACAGGTGGAGTCTGAACATGAAGACTTACTCGATGATGGAGGTCGTCGATATAGCTTGCTCCTAATACTAGGCGATTGCCATTTGTTCAGTAGAAAGAGACGTCTAGGGAGATTGGAATAGAGTTGAGTGATGGGCATCTGGAAAGAATAAGAAGCCAGTTTTGTGGTGAAATTAGACAAGCTATATTGAGCAAAAACAGTCAGGTGAGCTAGTCTTAAGAATTAATACTAATGTGAGGTTTTTTTATTGAAAGAATTTTATAACATATTCATCATGTCCCAACAATAATTATGGAAGAAACTGCCATTATATCCATATGGCCTCTTTGATTTCATCCACGATTCTTCAGTAATCAAAGAGGGTATGCTATCAAGAATTGTAGAATTACAGACAGGATTACGGAGGTTGAAAATTTTCTCAAAGTGTTTCAGAGCAGCTCTTAGCTACTTTATCCTCCTTCTGAATCCATCTACCCCTATTGTTCTTGATTCTTAAGATCTCAAGTCTTCTTTTGTTGTCCCTCATAATACTGTCAAACACATTTTAATCAAACAAGAGACTGTGCTGCTGGACCAGAATTAGATGAAGCCTTAATTAAGGTTTGGATTGACTTTTTATTTTTAATTTATAAGTCAAAACTCATAAGTTAAAATTCTTAATTTATAACTTTTGGCTTAATTTTAGCTTAAAATTAAGTACTTAAAGCACTTTCTTCACTTACCCAAACTCGCTAAAAAAAATACTTAAAAGCTATTTTAGCTCAAAAAACACTTTTAAAATAAATCAATCCAGACGGGTTGTCTTTTCTACTTTTGATGTAAACACAATCTTTTGGTAATATAGGGGATTTGATAACTCGCATTGACAAATTGTAATCTTTATGTTTATAACTTGAGGGATTTTCATATTTATATGAAAAATTACAACATAAAAAATCTACATTGTATGTTAAAACAAAACTTCAACTTTTAAACAGAAGTTATAGCATCAGCGCTTGACACAGTAGATAATACATGGTAAATAAGATGTCAACATATTTATGGTAGTTGGTAGACATTCTATTATTTATTTCAATATGAGACTGGACTTATGCCAGCTAAAAATATGTACAAAAAACACACCTCTCTTCTGCCTTTTGGACCATAAAGATCAGATTACCTTAGTTTCTTACTTTTAGGGGGAGTTGGGGATGAACCATACAACACACCTCATCTGAGTTTTAATTTCTAGGTTCAGGTCACAAAACCCCAAAGCACTACCTTCTTCTGTTAATAATGTCGTTGCAGCTTGTAAACATTGTAATCTGCTAACATATGCATAGCAATATCAACTAGTGAACAACAGGTGCAGCTAAACCAAACAAATAAACCGTTACGTTGAAATGTGCTTTTGGAAAAATGAAACAAGTCTCATATGCTTAGATAAGTAACATACCATGCTAGGTCATTATACAGAGATAGGTGTTTTCTCTAGGCTTTCTTTCCCAGTGATGCCATCTTTCAGAGTCTTGAAGTATTCATTGTAATCTTTCTCCGGAGGAGGGTTTTCTGGATCCACTGTGTACGGCTCACTAAATGGAATGACACTTTTAACCTGACCACAGGAAATTGTGAGTTCTTAATTAGTAACTTAGTACATACATACCTATTCCTATATATATGTATTTGTCCATATTCCTTCTTTTTCCCCATGAAAAAGCAGGAAAATAGGTAGATCAGATCCTTCAATAATCAATTGATATAGATCACTATATAGTTGTTTGCGAACCTAAACCATGGTGAGGACTTCAAACACATTGCAGGAAATTGTCTTTACTTTCACGGAACCTATTTCTATCAATTTGCAGCCACAGACGCAGTATCAAGTTTTCGGGACAGTGTTGACACCAACCGAAGAAGAAGATAGAATGGACTATGCAAGAATCTAATGAAATTCTCATAGCAGTTAAAATTAATTGGAGTTAATAGTATAACATGAAGTTATATGTACACAGTTCTGAAGATTGCTACTATTTGTCAGTGCTTCCAGACCCTTTAAAAAATTTATCTGCCTCCTATCCAAATAGATTTAGATGCATGAGTTTGAAAAGCTGAAAATCCAAAAACTGTGTCTAAATTAATGGCTATCCAGACAAAGATACCTTAAAAATAGAATATGCATATACCTTTATCCACCTAGCCAATGGATCTAACATTAGAGGCAATACAAGCACAAGATGCAATAAGTGTGGTTTAAAGCTACTCAGGATCAAGAGAGTAGTCATATAACATGTTTCTCGTCAGACAAATATAACTTTGCAGAGAGTAAGGAACATCAGAAAAAAACACATATTTGTCATATTCTAAGGAAAAGCACCACCTCAAATGTTTTGTCACATGCATAGGGACTTTTCAGAGCTGCCACACATATTCGAGCAACTTCTTCACGGGATATCTTCCCCTGTACATACCAGATACAAATGTTCGCATGAGAAATTAGAAAGAAAGCTCAACGCCATCAACATTATGCAAAGTGATCTTCAGCTAGACTTTATGGAGGACAAAAAAAGAATTATACAGACTCCACAAGACTTCATAAATAAGAAAACTCTTTAATTCTGAGCAAATACCGTGAAATTATACAAGGCTCCACAAGGCTTTATAAAACAGAAGATAAATTTCTAATTTCTGAGCAAATACCGTGATATTGTCGCCTTGATCGAAAATGAGATCAGCTCCTGCAGGCTCCTCAGTTAAGGCACAAGGCCTGACTATTGTATATGGTATCCCAGATTCTCGAATCTCATCCTCCCCCTGGCATGAAAGTTTATCTGTGTGAGAATAGGGATCTCAAATAGTAAAACACTCAAGATAGAAAGAGCTCAACGTCCTTTTTCCAGTCGATACTAATAACAGAATGCTCATTGTAAACCGAGATGTAAGCTGTTATCAAATGGAATGTATAGGTAGCAACACATGCCAAGAAGAAGACTACTATCTCCTACATATTTCAGATAAAGGTAATTGCAAAGGATCCTATCTCCTACTTAATTATAACTATTATCTACTTTGTATATGGTCAAAAATTTTACGACAACCTCCAACAGGGTTAACATTTGACAAAAGCACCAGCTTAGCATATATGCAACTTTGGTTAACTTGGGAAATGTTGCAAGCTAACCATTTATGTTCAATAGATGACAAAATCTCTCTTAATGAGTCCCGGCCGCTGCAATGGGAACATCATCAATCCATCTCAATGACCATTTATCATTTTTAAATAATAAGACATTTTACTTAAAACATCACAGTCCCATTTTACTATACTCCACTGCAGGGTCTAGATTTGGGACTTCATCCAGACCATTATAAGCATTTCTTTTGGTGGATAAGTATCCTAACCATTAATCATTTAACAAGGCATTTATCCTCGTTGTGAAAGATGTAGGAAAACTCAAGGTACAAACCTTTAACTTGAATGTCAGGATGAAGCCCAATTCCTTGTTCAATCGCACAGCTGGAGGCTGTTTGCTTAAATCAATTCCTGGTCTTTCTGGTCTAGTTACACCAGCAGAACTCACATGTACAAACCTGCAGAACAGTAGAGTTAGTACAAAACCGAAAAATCAAGGAAGAATGCTGCACCAATTCAAGTTTAAATACAAACCAAAAAATCAAGCAAGAAAAATTCACTGCTTCAAGTTTAAACCAACAATATAAAAGTTGGATCAAGAATCCAACCTGGGAGTAATGGGATCTTTAAGATAAGCTTGAATGCATGATACAGGAAGTTCAAAGGGACCTTCTTTGAATGTTGGATTCAGTTTACCATCAGATTCGAATTTGCTGAACATAAGCTGCAAATTTCCAGAAGAAAAAAAAAAGTAAAAATGCAGAAAGCTGGGAAAGAGAATGCAAAGATGAACAAAGGCAAGCAGCTGATATAAAATACCTGTAATGATGTGATTTGACTGGGGTCAAAAGGCGATGCATCTAGTACGGTTCGTGCACGGAATATAGGCCTCAAAGAAGAAAAAGGCAAACGAACCTGGAAATGATGCGCTTAGGATAAAATTTAGATATGAGGAAAGTTGGAAAGTTGCTGAAATTCACAAGAAACTAACCAATTGCCAACCCTCAACGGTATCAAAGATTGATGTATAACCCACAGTATCCCAATCACTGCTAGTGCGAACAATAAGCTTATAACGACGGCCATCACCTTTAAGGCGCAACTCTAAACCATCATAAGCAGAAAGGTCTTCGGGTTCAGAAAAGTTCTGCAACACACGGACAAGGAAATCAAAAAGTAATAACTATCTTTCCCCGATCATATTGTGATTGAGGCAAATGCACAGTTAGCTCTTGGCTAAGCTGCTACTCGAGCTTCACTCATGAAAATTACGTCCCACATGCAACTGTAATTTTGTGTAGAATCACCGGCCATACTCCCATAATGAAAACTCTTACTGGCTAAGTCACTTTTTAGGGAATATAATTTAGCTTATTCTTGGATAACACCATGCTAATTGGGGCGAAAATAGGAAAGGTGTAAGGAGGGTAGAATCATCTTCCATGTTTGATAAAGAAGTAACAGATAGCGGGAGGCTGGATACCCTTCATGTTGGATATTTCTAGCACCTCTAATATGGGTAGTTAGGAGTGATCATATTTTTCTTTCATTTCCCTACACTGAATAATAAAAAGTGAATGATGAATACTGCAACTAAGGAGGCAAGTCAATGAATGTCTCTCAAGTCGACATGTTGAATTTTAGTCAAATGTTATGCTGTCTGCAGAATATAATAGCTGAAATGTTTTTTTATTCTCAAATAACAAGGATTGTAACAGGCTAAACATAAATAATAAATACAAGTACAAGGTATGGTAAAGGATCAGGTTATTGCTTATGAGCTTGATTCCAGTATGATTAAAGATAAAATTATAAATAAAAAGAGAAAGACAATAATGTTCTGGGTTAACGATACATAAACACATCCAAACAACATGAAAAGTTAAGCCTCGGGCATGTCAAACAACATGATTCAGCCATCAACAACTTCATAACCAAACATGAAGTAGAAAGCGAGAAAAACAAAGCAGAAAACCAGCTTAATGATTTTTTATCTTTTTACCTTTGTCCTAATACTGGCAAACCCCCCGTTGTTAGCAGTGGTAACAATACCTGAACAAACACGAAACAGAGTTAAATTGATTATTTAAGAATTAGAGATCACCACGAACCAACAGACTACTAACAAAGTATCACCCGGAACATTGAATCTATGAAGAAAGGTAACCTTTGAAGAGTCCTGTTGGTCCACCATTTTCCCCACCAGTTAGATCTATCTGGAATGTACTTTGACTCACTCCACCCATCACAACATCATCCAAAGCCCCCCAAGGAAGTTCTTTAAATGAATTACCTGCATGGAAGTACTGAACAAAGTCAATCTATTGTATGAACCTAAACAACCTTATATAGACGTAAATTCTGAAAATAAAGCAGTAAAAAGACAGGAAAGAAAGAGGAACTAGCCTGGGTGATTATTCCATACAAATGCGAACTCAGACACTAATCAGTCACATAAGAGCAAGAAGATCATATATTACCCCTCCCCGGGCATCCCCATTCCCTAATTCCACATTGTTATATTTTTATGGAATTTAATGAAAATCATTTTCAAGTACAGTTTTTCCCGCTCTAGTGTCTGCCTCCAAGATATCATGAATACACAAATAAGGGGATATAGATCTTTGCAATAAACAGATGTCAGTTGTTTTACGCCACAATGATATAATAAAAATCTCGCTAGATTTTCTTTCTGTTCATTTTTATTTGTTTTAATGTTGGTATCTAATTGTAAGAGCCAAATATAACAGTTCAACAACGGATTCTTCATTCTCCAAAAGCATACCTTCATATCCAAATAGTAGTTTTCCTGTGCGAAGGCAAACATTTTCTTTAACAGCATTTATTAAATTCTTCATTCCAATGTACTCCACCATTTCAGGTGAGTCACCTTTAATCTGTTCTGCCAGGTAAACAAGGATGCTTAGTGAACTGGTGCTCCAACACCAAAGTTAGCTTATAAAATTGGAAGGGAAACAGTACAATATAACTCCAAGGATAGGCAATCAGTTGGCCACCTCGGGTTCAAAGAACTTGATTCCCTGCAGATTCACATAAAGAGTATAAGCATAAGCAAGACGTAATATTATGTTAAGCTAAAAGATGAAACCAATGAACTCATACATGGACTACAAAGAAAAACAAGTGATTGTAGTTTTAGTCAAAGAAGGACCGAGAGTTGAATTTATGGCCTAGCAACAGAGTGATGTAAAGAATACACTACAGGAGTTTATCAAAAGTTACAGCTTATTTACCTGACTGTATTTTTCCCTGTCAGGGGTATCCCCTTCCTTCGGGCCAACAATGGCAGAAACAGCATTAATTACGCTCGTTACTCCTTTGAAGTACTCAGGAAGCAGAGTGCTTGCTTTGGTAACATCTCCAACAACCTAGAATTTTAGTAAGAGAAAGCACAAGTTCATTTGGTGGAATATGTGAGTGTATTGCAACAGCTGTGTGTTGGTCCTGAAATGGATTTTCCGTGTTGCAGATATATTAATGAAAAGAATAACAGAAGGAAGGTCATGACAAGGACAATGAATTTGGCAGGCGCAGTTGCATTCTCGATGAAAAAAAAATACAGGAAGCGTCAACTGTAAAACATAATGGGGCTTCTCAGCTGTAATTAGAGCCTAGAAGAGAAGAATCGATTTCTGAGTCTCAAACTATATGGGAAAAGATAAAACCATGCCTGATATCAGAGTAGAGAGAGTGAGAATAACATCAAAAGGATACTCACCAGGTCAACATCTTCACCAAGCATTCTTCTTGCCTTCTCTTCATTTCTGACCTAAAGTATTTAAGAATGTCAAGAAGAAGGAAATTTTAGTTAAAATAGAGGGAGTGGACATTATTATTTTCTACTCAAATAACATGTTTTTCCATTTAGTAAGCAAAAGAAAGAGTTGTACAAATCTTAGAAAGGAAACAACAAAGGTAAAAAAGATCAGAAGAAACATACGAGTACTCGGACAGACAATTTTTTGTTGCGTAATACGTCCACCACTCTTCTCCCAACACCACCAGTGGCTCCAGTTACCAGGGTAATTCCAGAAGAATCCATCGAGTTAACTGGTTTACTAGGTGATGGACCAGTTAGTTTCTCAATCAGTGATTCAAAAAACTTTAAGAAAAAGAAAAATCGGTTAGAAGTAATGAAGCGCCACGAAAAGAGTCATACACCACTTGCCAGAAAGGGAAAAGAAAGGCCAACCTTTGCAGGGGAAGGAGGGCCATTAAAAAAATACAATGTCTTTATAAATCTGCCAAAATCCCAACCTTGTTTTCCAGCTTCTGCCAATATGGCACCCTTAAACGTCTTCTGCCTGTAAACAAAATTTTGATGTTTCTTTTCAGGTCTAGATAATGGCCAGGAAAGATAAGATGGGGCACCTAAGGATTTCTGAGACGATCTTCCACCAAAAGATGAAACACCCTGCAATGTATTACCACATACAAAGGTATAAATGGTAAAAGTTAGAAATTGCCAAGAATGGAGTAAAGGAAATACAGAAAAGGAAAATGAAGCAATGCAGTCGTCCACAGATGAATCTGAAGTCCAATTTACACTTCAAATGAGCTGCAAGTCTAAGCATTTTTCCAGTGGTTAAAACAAATCCATATTATACTCTATTTTTTGGAACTATAATATCATCAAATGCATCACAAAACCGGAAATACGTCACAAAGCTTCATGGTGTGTCTAGTGGCAGAGAATTTGATAAACAAAGTCCTATAGCTATTTTCATGGTAGTAACTACTGACAGGTTTATAAATTCATGTAAACAACCAAGTATTTGGCATCAACATCAAGTAAGAAAACACACACATCACCCCAGCAAAAAACCCTCAAGAAAAAATCATAGTTTTCATTCACCTCTAATACTTTCTTCCCACTAAAATTCCATGTATACCTCTGTTTCATGTAGACTAAGACTACTACATTATGGTTTTAGTAATAGCTTCTCTAAAAAAACTGGGTTTTGGACACTTTGCACAGTTTTATGAAATATATTATGAGTGATCGATGACTCTAAGCCACCTACAAGTAATCAGAATCCAACAACTACGAGTCAAAAAAGAAAACCACTTTTCAAATATAGTGCTATACAGGAATGTAGATAACTAACAGAATTCGGTTATATCTCCTCCAGTCTTTGCCAACGAGGCAGTATGGGCAGACATACCAGGAACTACATCTTTTGGTCTAGTCGGTGGAACCAGTGAACCACTCGAGCCGGTTAGATGCATGAGGCAGAGGGCTCGTAGCACCTTTGAACAACAATTATTGGAATATAACAGTAACTTGGTAAAAACAATCACTGAACTACCTTAGAGTACATATGCTATTTATTATCCATTTAACCCGGGAAAAAAAAAAAAAAAAACTCATCAATATGTCCTTATAAGCATTTCTATCACCAACTTAAGGCAAACTCTTGCACACAAGCCTCACCCTCTCGAAGGATCAAGAATCAAACATCAATTTTTCAACTGCACCCAAAATTTATGTAACTAAGAATATAATAATAATTATGTTTTGCCTCCCTTTACACACTAAAGTTTCCCGTTAGCTAATTCACCCACTGATCAACTATAAATATTGAAATACATAATGAGATAAGTATATTACATACAAAAAGGACACAAATATTTAAAAATGTAACAATTATTAAAGGACATGTTGAAAAGTTGTACCTGAAAATTCAGAATAGTTGAAGATGATGATGATGGCTTTGTTACAGTGAAATAACAAGATTCCATTTTCCCAAAAGCTAACTTATTTTTGCTTCTTGATGAGTGCAAAACTTAAAAATTAAACAATATGTGGTTGATAAAGTGACAATTGAAATTGTAAGAGTTAATTTACACCACATATTAGGAGGGAAAAAAAAAGTATTTTTCTCAATCATACAGAGATTTCTGGAAGAAAATGTGGATCAAGCCATTTACTGGACAATTCGGCCCATATTTGATTTGATGCTACTTAGTAAACATTTGAACTTTGGACTAGTGCAGATGAAAAATTTCTCATTTAAAAGCCCAAAAGCAAAAACTCTCTCATTTAAAAGCCCAAGTGTAGTTGAATTAAGAGGCACTTTCGCAACTATAATAAACTTAATTATGTTTCATAGCTATAGTTTGCATATTTATGGACTGTAGCTACAATTTAAGTTATCTCGTTTGTATAATTCGCGGATTTGTATAAATTCGCAGGTTTGTATAATTCGTTAGTACATTTGTATAATTTAGTTATTTTTGTATAAACTCGAAATAACAAATTTATACAATTACAAACATCAAAAGTATAAACAGTTATACAAATTACAAATTATACAAAAGTTATACAAATTATATTATACAAAGTGCGAATTATACAAAACTAAAAAGCTAAACTGCATAATTATAGCTAAAAGTAGGCCGCGAATTGTAATTAAGGCAAACTATAGTTATGCTAATTAATTAACTATTATATGTTTGCTTATATGCGTAATTTTCCCTTGAATTAAAGAGGTCGGAAGTAGGGCTTACCATACCTAGGTTTTTCATCTTTTTTTTTGTTTGGTGGGAGTCCACCCAAGCAGTGGCGGACCCAGGATTTTTGTTCAGGGGGTTCGAAAAATAAAAGTATAAACGTGTATATATAAGCCAACAAGATAAAATCTCAAGAAAGTAGTAGTATTTAGTTTTAGTGGAGGACACTTGAATTTTTTTGGGTTTAAAACCACACTTTTAGCATGTTTTATAAAATAAAAAACAAAAAAAAAGGGAACTGAAACTAAAAAAAAAAACTGAAACTGAAAAAGAAAAAAAATAAAACGCTAATGAAGGGATTCGAACCCTTGACGTAAGGCTTAATTTTCAAGGAACTTGCCACTGGACTATCTCTTTCTCCTTGTCATTGAGGGGGTTCAAAATATATATATACACATAAATACAGAAAATTACCTTATATATACAGTGTAATTTTTTGTCGAGGGGGTTCGGGTGAACCCCTGGAACCAACGTGGGTCCGCCCCTGCACCCAAGGTGCTTATGGGGCTTAGGCACGATCTCAACGTGTATATATATCAAAAAATGAGCAAAACCCTACTCTTGATAGTCTTCCGAGTAGGCTATGCAATGCGTCCATAAGGATGACATCATGCTTTAACTTTCGTAGCTCTAATTTAACATAAGGGGAACCTTCTCCCTCAAACAAGGACATAAGACGTACAATAATTACATACAATTGGCAAATTTTAGCCTAGAATTAATTAGCATCTTTTAGTCCAAAACAATTAGCAACTATTAGCCCAATACTAAAAAAGAGAAATATTGTAGATTTTTTTTTTTTTAAATGTGCCTGCAACTAACCATCAAAAAAGGACGTGGGTTGATTAATCTTCCTCATTATTTATTAACTCCTACATAATGTATCCTTTAAAGAATTAGTATTTGTATACATTCAATTGTAAAGATTATGCACCAATGTATACACACAACCGTGTATACATAAGTATTCGTACACATTCAATATTAACGTTTCTGCACCAATGTATAGTATACATACTTGTTTGTATACATTCAATTGTATTGTGACTGCACCAATGTATACACACAACCATATATATAGTAAATATGATTAACTTAAGTATGCTGATATAAGTAGATTTTATATCAACTCTACCGTATGGCAACAATGCATACATTGATTTTTTGGAATCATCATCTCGATTTTTAACAGAAATCTTACAAAAGGTTTTTTTACCCATGAATTTAACAAAAATCACAAACACCAAAATCTAAATCCCCAAAACAAACTGAGAAACCCAAATAAATAACACTAAAATATCAATAATTTACCTTACATATAAAAATACGGAACAAATTAAGGCAAGAAAATAGAATTACCATTAGAAAAAATTTAGAACAGAAAATTTTGAAAAACTTATAAGGAATTAAGAAAGAAAGAAGAAAGAGAAAATGTAATATTTAATATTATTTAACTTGTTGCGGTTGACAAATCTGATGAAAGGGATTCGGAGTAAATTATAAAAATTACCTTTTTAATAACGAAATAAAAGGATCAATGGGGTAGTTACCGTATCTCAATATTAGAGAGAGAAAAGAAAATATATGAGAAGCATTTCAGTTTTCAAGAATATAAATTGGGCTATTTAATGCAAAAATAAATATTAAAAAACTTTTCATGCTAAAAAAATAAAAAGGGGTTATTTATTGCCAATTTAGAGAATGTAACATAAGGACTTTCCCACTCATGTTTCATTTCTTAAAAAATAATCTGAACTAGAGAGTTTTTTTCTGGATAAAACTAACAAATACCGACTTAAGCATGCATAATTCATCATAAATAAGAAAATGACTTATGATACATGAGATTGGAAATTAAAGGGGCGTTTCTTAAATAGGAAAAAGGGAAGACATTAAATCTAAATCAGAAAGGCATACATAAAAAGTTGAAGGGAGAAATAGGAAAAACAAGTTCTCCTAGATAGTATTTTACATTGATTGTACTCCTCCAACGTTTTTGACCTTCACCTCAAGGTCCCAACCCCGACCCCTAAACCCCCTCGACATCGACCCCAAGTCTCCAACCCCATCCCAACTCCTATCATCCTGCCACCAGCCCAATCCATTTTATTCGTCTGCGTTATATATAAATGCTTTTCAAACAACAAGATTTTTACTTACTTTTCAAATATTAGAACAAAAATATATATTTTTCGTGATACTAAACGTATACACCCGAAATGTTACTTTTAGTTATTCGACAATAACATAATAAGTCTCCTCATTGCATTTTCTACTTAACATTACTACTTGCTTTAAACTAAGAGTTTGCTAGCCCATTAATCTCAATTTATACTAATTAATTCATATTTAAAAGGAAGAACTATTCACTCAATTATATTGAATTATACGTATTTAACTCATGATGTATACTAAATTAAAGTAGAGGCATGGTATGCATGTTGTTTTCTTGACTTCTGCGAAATCATAAAAATTATACTTCATTTTCATAGAATACTACCTATGGAATTTTATAAATTCAATTATTAGAAATGGTGGATTTCGTCAAGGAATGAACAAAATCTCAGGTTAAATCTCTGACGACCCTAAGATTCCTTAATTATTTAATTAGTAGTTATTTAACTACTCAATTATACTCTTTATATTATTGCGTTGTATGATGTATCTAACCTAAGGAAATAAAAATAAATAAATTATAGGATATCGTGCCTCACATGAATAGTAATTAAATGTTTAATTAGTTTGATTAGTCATATGAAGAATAATTTCCGTTATAATTATGGCAGCTAGAAAGCCCCTCTTTTCTTCTTCTTCTTTGGAGTTTCAATCAAAACGTAAAATATACATAAAAATTAAATTTTAAAAAAGAAAAAATCTAACAGAAGATTAGCAAGTTGGCTAGATCGATCTTATTATTAAAAAATTGTATATAAAACATAGCTAGTTGTGTCCTTTGTTTTAACAAACAATTGATTAAATAAGAAAAAGCATAACAAGTTACTTATTACCATAATCTAAATGATCAGGATGTCATCTAAGTTGAAGACTTCAAGTGATTTGAAACAAATGTAATAATATAATATAATACTATGAAATAACGTAAAATGTGAAGCAACATTTGGGCCTCCCCATTTTCAATTCCGTTTTTGTACTTCTAGCAGATGCGAAGCCAGGATTAGGAGTTTGGGGATTCTAAATTTTAAGATAGAAGAGAAAAATATTACAAAAGTAGAGTTTGAATCCACAATACTAGTGTCAAAAATATTTTCACCGGCCTTACTTACAATTGAACTACCTATCAATTTTGTTAGGGGGTTCACAAGTTAATATACACATATATTTATTTAATTTTCTAATACAAATATAAAATTTACGAAAAAGCTAGTGGGTTCTCTGAACCCATGAACCCCACCGGCCACCTAGCTCCGCCTCTGACTTCTAGTTAATTGATCCATATATTATCTCCCCCATAATATTTCCAGTCAATGATCATTATTGATTCACTCTTGTTTTTTTATAATATCTCAAATAATAGCAGACACAAGAAAAAGAAACAAGACGTAGAGATCATATGTACTTTTCACATTTGAGGCAGCAAGTTACATACTTCCACCGTTCTTATTTACTTGTAGAATTTTAACTTTATATACTAATTCAGAAAATAATAATTGGTGTAGCGAGTTTATCATTTTGGCCCTACTAATTGATAGGGTCTCAAACATATTTACTCACTATATTTTTAAAGACATTAATTCACTGTTAATAAATTGAGGATGTCAAAGAAAAAAATATTATCCATCAATGATTTGTCAAAAATGACAAGTAAAAGAAGAAATTAAATTAAAAAATATTTGACAAGTAAATAGAAATGGAGGGAGTATATGAGAAGCAATATTAGATACCTCTAAAGACAAATTAATATCATGCTGCCAACTCCTATATATGCCAAAAACATTTTTAGTGGCTATTCACTAGCTTCTATAAATTAATGCTTACAGCTAACTTAAAAGATAAAATTGCCCCAGCCCATCAATTTAGTTTTTGGTTTAATTCTTTAATTAATTAGTTTTCTGTATATAAAAATTATAGTTCTTTCTTAAATGTTATTTGCATTTAGTTTGTTTTCTTTTCTCACGTAGGAGTATAATTTATCAGTTCACATATAAATTGAATTCAAAATCCTATATATGTTCTGTTATCAAAACTTAACAAAAGGTAAACTATATAGAGAAAATTGAAAGGCTAACACTCCTGAACTTGGAGCAAATTATTAGTTTCGTTCATGAACTATTGACAGTCTTAAAAATACACCGATCTACCTTACTAACTAAAAT